TCACTACACCTAACCCTTTATTCACTTATGTCCCTGTTCACAGACATGACAAACAAGAGAGTCGACTTTGATGGTTTCCTGCCCATGCTGCAGTTTGTGATCAACAGCCCAAACAAGGCAACATACGATGACTACGTTGAGGGTCTGCGTGTATTCGATAAGGAGGGCAACGGAACAGTAATGGGTGCTGAGCTGCGTATCGTCTTGTCAACACTGGGTAAGTGGCCAAAATGAACAAGTAGATGAGATCACTACTGCAATTCCATATTCACATCAATAATGAGAGTGGACTCTTTTGAAACACTCAATCATTTTGAGTTGTTGTTTTTTTTACCTAGAAACTTTGAATGAACTGAATGTAAAAGCAAAGTCTGCTTTGTAATTATATATATATATCAGTGTGTCTCAACCATTTTGACCCCCTTATATTAGCTAAGATATTAACTCTATTTCTGCTTTAATTTTAAAAGCAATTACTATTAATGTTCTTCAATAAAAACAATAGTCATTCAGGGGGAGAGGGGGGGGGGGGGGGGGAATTGTTCAGTTTACATCTTAAGTTTTATATACATGTATAATTAAATAATTTTAAGTCATCCTGTTGCCATATTGGCGGTTTGCTGAGGTCCCTTAATTGAGTACAACTGATATATCATAGTATTATAATGTTTCTACTAATCAAGCCTGTTGTCAAGATATAATAATTGAAATGGAGGCTGTCATAAAAACATTTAGAGAAAATTGCCTTTAAAGAATTTCAAATTTTTTAGACATTTTTAGACAGAATTAGATGATTTATTAAAACATAGCCTACACTAAATTATTAAAACGAGATAAGAAAAAAAAAAAAAGCATCTATAATAAAGTGCATATATTAATAATATTTTAATAAACTTAAACGATTTTTCTGAGACAAACGTTGTGACATGTTGTTCACAACCTTTTTTATGGATATTTTTCCGCGTTTGAAACACTGATTGGCAGATTACAGGAGATATGATACGTTTCAGCAAGTTGTACTGAATCTTTCAGCATACCTTTGTTTTTTCATGCTACACTTTTAAAAATAAAGGTTCCAAAAGTTTTTTTTTTTTTTTTTTTTTTTTTAAAGAAGAATCATTTTTGGGTTCCTCAAAGAACCTTTCAGTGAACAATTCTTAAAATATTAACAGTTATTTTCTTTTTTTTATTGTGAAGAATATTTTAATAATATAAAGAACCTATTTCCACTATGAAGAACATTTTGTGCAGTGGTTTAAATGCATTTTAATGGCGAGCATCTGTCTTTCAGCCCGTTTAATGTTATGATCAAACTATACTTCTCACTTTCCCTGCAGGTGAGAAAATGACTGAAGCTGAGATCGATGCTCTCATGCAAGGCCAGGAGGATGAAAATGGCTGTGTGAACTTTGAGGGTCAGTTCAGTTCCTTTCATTGTCTCATTGCACATTATTTCAATAATGACTGACCGTTTTATAGAGATAATCGTTGTTTGTTGTCCTGTAATTCTAAGCCAGCATCACATGGCATTTTTTTTTCAATCTCTTCATTCTAAACAGCTTTCGTCAAACACATCATGTCTGTGTAAGAAGTGAAGAAACTGAAGCATTTCTCCAGATTCCATGATGTCAGGACATCCACACAATGTTTCCAAAACCAACTCAGAAACGGATAAAAGGGACACGGGATGTTAGTCATAAACAATTATTTTGTAATTTGTTTTTCCTATTTTTTTTCCACTTGACTCCAATTTCTTTTGTCCATTCTTGGAATCCATTCATATTTTTTCCAGCTAGTATTATGATGTTCTTGCCGGGACAAGCCTCTCCGTAGCGGAACAGTTGTGAGTGGTGGGGGGTGTGGGGGGGCATCATGGTTACACAAAAATATGAACCACGCCCTTGACCACTCACTGTCTGGATCGCAAAATCAAAGGTGCTAAATATACTGCCATTAATGGACTGCCTGCAAAACCTCTTTCCCCTTTCCCCAGAGTCTTAATTTATTTTTCGCCTCTGTCAATTCTCATAATAAACTTTTCACAAAGTATCAGCCTTTGTTGTGATTGATGTTTTCATATTCAGTGCACAAGGCAGAAAGCCAAGTGAGAAGTGAGTGAACAGGTAGGTAAACATGACTGGTTATAGCAGGTATTTAGAGTCAACATGAAACAGTATTCACTACCCAATTCAGAGTGAAAATGATAAAAGTGAAAAATGATATTCAACAAGAAAAACAGAAACTTGTCAATTTTAATATCATGTCGAGTTTATGTTAACATTAAGATAACCTTAGAATATGGTAAATAAACACCCAATTAAAGACTAGAAAGAGCCTAGGATTTTTTCATTCATAGGTTATTGTACAATATCTGGTAAGATTCAAAGACAACTGGGATGCAAACTTGTCACATTTTGACCTTGTGACCTGCTTTTGAAAATTAAACTTCAACTGTTTATAAATCTGTTGTCAACAAATAAGAAGCTTTTGGTTTTCATTTGGGATTCCGCTAAAATAAAAGCTCTGGTTTAAAGGGATACTCCACCCAAAAATGAAAATTCTGTCATCATTTACTCACCCTCAAGTTGTTGCAAACCTGTATGAGGTTCTTTCTTCTGCTGAACACAAAGGAAGATATTTTGAAGAACGATTGGAACCAAACAGTTGTTTGGAACCATTGACTTCCATAGTAGGAAAAAAAATACTATGGAAGTCAATGGTGCCAACGTTCCAATCGTTCTTCAAAATATCTTCCTTTGTGTTCAGCAGAAGAAAGAAACTCATACAGGGTTGCAACAACTTGAGGGTGAGTAAATGATGACAGAATTTTCATTTTTGGGTGGAGTATCTCTTTAACACTGATGAAAGGAAAGAAATTAAGACAGCTATAAATATCGGTACAGTAATTTTACTGTTGTTGTGTAAAATTATTGGAATTTTCTTTTGTTTTTCAGTCCAATGGTATTATTACTATAGAAATATTTCCTTATTGATTTAATAAGTATAATTGAAAATAAAAAAACTTGAAAATATAACAATAATAGTATTATTACATAGCCATAAAAACAAGTGTGAACGTGACCTGAGACAACTGAAGTGGAGAGATTTTTAACTGTAAGTATTTTTAACTGTTAAGAAATGTATATATTTTGGGTGAGTTTTGAAAATAGACTGTTATTATACCAGACATACTAAGAAAAAGTATCTGCAAACATTGAGTTCAAATTATGAGGCCTGCAAAACAAATTATTCATAATGAAAAGTTCTGACTCTAAATTCTGATTGAATGAGGCACGTTTGAAGCTGCTGTAAAATGCCATTTAAGCTTGCAGAGAGACTAGATCAACGATACAGTTCTGTCAGGACCACTATCGTCAAATACGATTGAAAATAAGCATACAGTTTGGATTGGCGGTATGGTTCTGTTCTGGGCAAGAACTCCCTGTGCATGCATGCAGCCTAGCATGGATAAGAGCAGGAGAGCAGCAATAACCCCCCTTAGGGTAAACAGAACAGAACCAACATGAATGTATTGCAGATATCATTAATTCAAGATTTTAAAGCACAACATAATTGAGAATTTATTCTGATTCAGGGGGAATCAGAATGCCAAATCCTGACTGGCGAGAGGAGGAGCTGGGGATGGAGGAGGGTAATGAGCTCCTGAGAAACGCGATAGCTGCTGATAATACTGAAGGAGCTTATATATGTATACAGTGATAGGAGTCGTATTCCTATAGGTAGACGTGGATCAGCTGAGAGTCAGCTGATGCGAGCTTGACTAACGTGTCCTGCCAGAACTGACGCTACACTTAATTTATAGCGCTATGGTATACTAGAATTTTGCCCTGGACCCTTGAATTCAACCAATAGATTTCCACTTACCGTTTGTAAAATCGAATAATGTACAGCCTCTTGTTGCTTGTTGCTTTTTAAAATCTTTAAGGAAGCAATAATACCACAGTCATAAGTCATAACACATTTCACAAACACAAAGTCAGAAAAAAAAAAAACAGATCACACCAATGTTTTGTTCATTTTCTGTATTTTTATTGTCATAACTGTTAAGGGCATTTATAATCCGTATCATACCAACAGGAGAAAAACTGCATACATCTATGTGACCTTTTAAATACATTTACAGCAGCTGAGGGAATCAAGGAAAAGGGCAGGTAAGGCTCAGGGGGGCCGAGAAAACACAGAAGCCTACGAATGACAGCTGTTCTAGAGGAAAAGGGGCAGGGGAGAACCACAAATGACGAGAAAAAATATACTGGTGTACTGTGTTCAAACAAATGCAAGCGCAGTGAGTATCCTTTTTAAAGTTTTGTTTTGTGTTTCTTTTTCCACGTCCTAAGAAAGAAAACTAAGCATCCAAGCAGGAATCAGCAGACGAACACAGGGCCTAAATCACCAACAGCGTCCCGAGGAGCTGCTCCCTACGTTTAAGAATAAAATGAGGGCCGCAGAACCACCCATATCTTGCTCAGGCGGGTCCGTTCCCATCTCGACTCCGGTACGTGGTTGACACTTCAAGACAGCAGATTAAGCAGATCTTACATGATTCATGTATAACTGGAGCCCTCGGTTGGATTTGCGTAATGTAATACTGTAATATAAGCGTTTTGTGTAAAGGTGCAGTCACATTTACTGATGCTCGGCAAAACTTCGCAGGCGAAATCCAGTCATTTCAACAGGATTCTGCGTGTTTGGGAGTTTCGCATGAGGGCGAAAAAGTTCCCCATGCAGATTTTGCTCAAGTTGTAGTTGTTCACGTGCTGACAAAATCTGAAAGTGACTTCTTCAATATCGCTCATGTGACCACACCATAAGTTAAAGCACAAATCTGCTTAAACTGTGTACCGACAAAGATCCACGGAAGCAACGGTTTCGTAACGGTCATCTGAAACAATGTACAAACTAAACATTGTCGCTAGTATCTACAAAACATGATGTGTTGATTTTACTCGATGTTTCAGCAAATAACTTACTAAAATCCCTTGAAATAGAAAATAGCCTCTTTTGTGTACTAGAATACATGCTCGTCATACTATCTAGTTTTTTTTTTTTTAAATGCAATAGTACAGGAATAACTTATCGAAGGAGTAATCGTTTCTTTTTTTTCAATTGAGCATGAGATGTCGAGACAAAGAGCTGGTATACTTATAAATATATTCCCTTATAGTGTATATTGTGTTTGATCGTATGTGACTCGCAGTTGAGATGTTTTAGAGTCCATGCACTGAATGGGCAAAAGAACACGTGCAGAATGGTAGCGTCGCGCCACATTCCCGTGTATAAAAAATTCTGTTCGACCGACTTTTACGCAACACACCTGACACTGACCCTAAACCAGCAGTTGAGGCCACTGTCTGTACACAATCATAAAAAGTCACATGTAACATGGGTAATAAAAAGCACTGGTCTCTAGCTCTAACAAGTCGTTATTCATTAAAATTGACCAAAAAAAAAAACAAAAAAAAACAGATAAAATGCTTATTTTTTTTTCAGATGGGAAGTGAAATCTGTAGTCTTCATTAAATACCGGCGGGAGGAAGGGTCAACCGTGACACCAATGAAGGGGACTACTGTAGATCGAGTGGAGGGAATTTGATTGAACGGAGACATTTTGAATTCACAAGCCTTGTTTGGCCAGGGCAGCGGTCACATCATCGGCCAGCGTGGCCAGCTGTGGAGACTCCAGCATGTTGATGCTCCCGGACGAGGACATGTGGCTGTGCCGGTGAGGAGAGTTGCCGCCTGACAGCCCGAGCGTCTCGATTACAATCTCTGCCCCGTGATCCACACGTGCTTTGGCTGCGTCTCGGAACAACAGCTTATGGCTTTCAATCTTAGAAGGAAATAGGAAGTCGGTGATGGTCGCTTTGCTCGTCCTCGTGTATGATGTGGGACGGATAAGTAAAAACAGTTGTGTTTGTGCACTCACCTGTACGTGGCCTCCTCCTGGTGTATGGTGGGCATTGTCCAGTGAGCCTACCTTTGCATGGGCTTTTTCTCTGAAGTCCAGCTTCACACTCTCAATGCGCACATGACCACCTCCTGAGAGTCATAACAAAGAAATGCAGTTAATTTCTCATTTCTCTGCTGGTGAAATCTTAAAAAGAAAATTTTTTTTCTTCACAGAACTAAAAATAAAAACAGGAATAAAATCTTTTAAAAAAATGTTAAATCTCTTATGATAACCAAAGCTGAATTTATTTGACCAAAATACAGTAAAAACTATAATATTGTGAAACATTATTACAATTAAAAGTTGTATATTTAATTATATTTTGAAATGTAATTCATTGCTATGATGGCAAAGCTGGATTTTCAGGATTTTCAGTCTTCGGTGTCACGTGATCCTTCAGAAATCATTCTAATTTGCTGCTCAAGAAACATTTCTTATTATTGTCAATGTTGAAAACAGATGTGCTGCTTAATATTTTTGGTGGTTTACTTTCTTTAATGAATGGAAAACGAAATGCAGTTATTTCTAATATAAATCTTTGTAACATTATAAACGTCTTTAATGTCATTTTGATCAAAAACATTGACCCCAAACTTTTCAACAGTACTGAATGTATAGCTCTTAAATCTACACAAAATATGGACGTTTATAAAATCTCTGCTCTTTAAATTACAATGTGGTCACTGTTAACTGTTAATTATTGGAAAGAGTTAGCAAGATTCTTACAGCATAAAATTTTGCCTTTTGTATATAAGAAAAATTTGAAATGGCAGAATCTTTTAAATGGGTTTGGCAAAGGAGGAGATTAAAATATAACCACAAGATGGCGCTGTTATATCATCAAATAGCCTAGCTCAGGCGTTGCATGTTTTTTAAACACAATCTGTATCATGACATTGCAAATTTCCAATCGGTGGCTAAATTTTCCAGAATTCATTAGTATGCTCACCTGGCCTGTGGCGGATGTTGTCCAATGATCCACACTTGGAGGTCACATGACTAAGATCAATCTTCTTAGATTGAATGTGAACCTGTGAGAAACACCAGATGTTGAGTACAAAAAAAAAAAAAGCACAAATGGGATAATAAAGGCAAGGAGTCACTCCAGTTCTTCTTCACATATGAATCTGCAACGTAAAAAAAAAAAAACCTTGCCTAAAAAGTAGCAATAATCGATAAGTTCAACTAACTCCACAACTAAACTCATGTTAGCTGAGCTGCAAATCTGCAAAAACTGATCAATATGCTGAAGATGTCACAACATTAAGAAATCCAACAACTGCAAATGAATATCACAAATACACCATCAGATCACTGAATCATATGATAGACTTACAGATGTTTAGAAATTCATGGCAAAGTAAATATTGGGTTGGGTAGATTCTGGTGTAGCTACTGGTGTACTGAATCATGAAATACTTAAAAGAAGATGTTGACCTTTTGTCCTATACAAATAAGAGAAATGTAGCTAACTGTTATATTATAGTGCTCAATTACCGCATTAAAGTAATGTTCCAGAAAGTTAAGGAATATTCCAACCTTAACTAAACAGACAGCATAAGTAATATTTTGTGGGAATCAAACCCATGACCTTAGCGTTGCTAGCGCCATGCTCTACACAGTGTGGTCATTATAGCTTTGTTGTAATAGTCACTCACAATGACTGACCGCTGCTGCTGCAAGGGGCAGAAAAAGCAAATCTGATTGAAGTACACACTCAGCACATACCAGCTCTGACATTTAGAAAACACTGGTCAAGACATTTTAGCAGGCAATATACACAATCAGAAAGAACAGAGACCAAAAACTAGTGAGCTGACTATAAGCAGCTTTTTTAGGCATAATTATGCTGCCTTTAAAATAATTTATTTTGATCAAATTGTGAGACAGCATTGCATTTATCCTTAGCAGTGAAAGCAATGGCATAAATATATTACAAGCTTAGTAAAAAAAAATCTGGATGGCAGACAAAGTGAGAGAAATGTCAATTATTAATATAAATCATTTAATATTTAAAATTATTACTAAAAATACTCAAAATTTAGTATTTTACACAATATTTCTGTATGCTAGATACATTAATTTATATTATTTATCACATATTTAGTATAGCAACAAGTTAACAGCAAACTACTGAAATCAATTATGAGACAAATTTACTGTGTGCCTCACATGACCTTTTTACACTAGCATTCAAACGTTTGTGGTCAGTTAGACATTTTTTCTATTATGTTGGCTTGACAAATCGTTAAAAAAGTATTCTCTATATGATATGAATATGGGTAGTATGAATGAAATTCAGATATTGTACATCCACCCTGTTGTTACTGTCACGTGACCCACCAGCGTCAGTTGTATCGCTTCACTTCCATTCAAAATCCCCTCCAGTGGCCTAATGGAATAGTAAAGTGTCCATCGAATGCGCAATTCAGGATCTCGCCGGAAGTAGTAGGTCACCCGGGGACTGCTGTTTTTCGAATATTATGTATTACAGTCTATGATTTGGACATAGGCTATTACTGTTTTGACGTACTGTTTTTAGCATACTATTTAGTAGGGAGCCAATTAATTTCAAACAGCAATAGAGTATGCTGTTTATCGCTAGCAAAGCTTAATGACTATCCAAGGACAACTTAATATTCAACAATATTTTTGACCTGATTGTACTGACTCTGTTGTATAAGAACTGAACTGAGCTGGACGATGACTTTTTTTTTTTTTTTTTTTTTTTGCAGAACTGCTTTATAAATTAAATTAACTAATTTAATGATTGATGATCTTTCCAATGGAACTGAATCAACACTAATCTGACTTCAGCTGAAATCCATAATTTTCCTGTTATCTGCTTTGAAACAATCTGTATTGTATAAAGTGTAAAATAAAGGTGCCTTGACTTGACAAAATGTTAAAACATGCTAGCAATGTGCCAATCATTCTAGCAACATGCTAAAACATGTTAGCAGTGTGTTAACAACATGTTATTAACATGCTAATCAGGCTAGCAACATGCTCATACATGCTAGGAACATGTTAATTAATGCTAACTTCAAAAAACAGCTATTTGAAATCTTTTCAGTTATTTTATTTTACATTATTTACAGAGACATACGCCTAACACATTTTGGCTTGCAGGCCTTCTTCAATGTTGACAAAACATGCTAGCAAAAATGAGAACAATGCTGTGAACATACTAGCAATGTGCTAACAACATGCTAAATTGTTTTAGCAACATGTTAATCATGCTAACAACATGATAGCAAAATGCTAATCATGCTAAAACTTGGTAACAACATGTTAAATCATGTTAGCAACGTGTTACAGCATGCTAGCAAAATGCTTAATCATGTTAGAAACATGTTAGAAAAACATGTGAATCATGCTAACAAAATTATAAAACACTAACTACATGTTAGATCAATGTTAACAACATCTTAAATCATGTTAGAAACATGTTAACAACATGCTAATCATGCTAGCAACATTCTAATTATGCTAGCAACGTGTTAAAAACATGTTAAACATGCTAACAACACGCTAATATATGTTAGACACATGTTATCAAAATGCTAATCATGTTATCAAAATGCTAAAACATGCTAGCAACATGTTAAATAATGCTAACAGCATGTTAATTCATGTTAACAACATGAATGCAACATGTTAATAATGATAACAACATATTAAAACGTTAAATCATGCTATCAACATTTTAAAAAATGCTAGCAACGTGTTCAATAATGCTAGCAACATGTGCGTCCCAATTTGCATACTTGTGCACTATTCTATGATTTTTTTAGTATAAAATAAATAGTGTGAGGTGAGTTGTGTTCCCACAGAAAATTCCAAATGGAAAAGTACACTTTAAATACCCGGATGATGCAGTTAATTAATGGAAAAAACTAAGCGTGGGATGTTGGGCACTTCATGCACTTGACTGTCACAGCTTTATTTAGGCTACGTAGCGGAGGGTGAGGGGCTTTCTGACTGCGACAGTGGATAACTAAATAACTAAATACACGGATGAATACGTGCATAAGTATAGTGATAGTGTATAAGTCAGTGTATAGTGCGTCATTTGGGATCATGCTAACAGCATGCTAAAACATGATAACAATGTGTTAAATCATGCTAGCAACATGTTAATTCATGCTAGCAATGTGCCAATTATCCTACTATGCTAAAAGAGTACTATAAATACTGTTAAAATTGGACTTTCTCTGAGTAAAACCTTCAAACTTCAAGCTTTTCAAAGTAATTTTAAACTTTCAGACCTGGCTTTGTCAAGCCAACATCAAAGTTTGTCATCAAATTTTATTAATCTAATTACTACTTTTATTCAGCCAAGATGCAAACTGTAAAAGTAAAAACATTTATATTTCAAAAGATTTATATTTCAGATAAAAGCTGTTCTTTTAAACTTTATATTCATTAAAGAATCCTGAATAAAAATGTATCACAGTGTCCACAAAAATATTAAGCAGCCCACTGTTTTCAATAAAAATAAAAAATGTACTGTATTTTTGATCAAATAAATGCAGCCATGGTGAACATTAGAGACTTCTTTAAAAAAAAAAAAAATCTTAAAGACTCCAGCTTAAAATGTACTGTGTAGATAACACACTAAGCCACTGCCTTTGTCGAGCACTCCAAATAAGTTTCTTATGAGGTTCCATTTCAGTTAGGATGCTCCCTGTGTAGGCGGCAGACAGCAAGAAGGCTTACTAGGTTTTGGAACAGAACCTAAAAAGTAAGTATAATAGAGGAGACCTTGAAACCTAAAGAAGAGAAGAATAAAAATGTTGACAGCAACTACTCCATGATACAGACTGTTGATCAAAACTGTTTCAGGATGAAAATAACCATATAAATTACCACAATTTTTCTCAAACAGAGAAATTAAATATATTGAAAAGGAGAGTGATGCGTTGTCTTATTTTGATATGACTTCCATACAGTAGACACACAAGTGTTGATGGGTCAACATCGAACACCTGCATTACAGTTTACAAATATATACATATAGGGTGTATATATTTTCACATGATGAACAACAAGAAGGGACTTCAGTTTTGCATTTTAGAGCCACGTGTGAAAATATATCTGATGTCTGTATTCAAGGTTGTCTGCATCTATGATGTTTGATTCTGCCATGGAAAGCATTTTGTCCTACTGAGCATCCAGTGCAGTAGAAATGTAATAAAAACGGTAGGGGTGTTGAAACGAATCGTTGCATCGATCCATCGTGATGCAGACGTGGACGTTACTGCACTGATGCAGTAATAGACTATAATCAATTATAGCCTACTGACGTTTATCTGACGTCATTTGTCACATACGCACTTCGCACAAGCGTAAAATGGTGGAGGGAGGCGAAACACAAAAGCGAGTAATAAAAACTGCACCCACTATTTTAAAATGTACAGCATGTGAGCTTGAGTGTGTGCGTGCGTGAAAGGCTGCGAGTGTGTGTGTGTGTGTGTGTGCGTGCAAATGTGTTGAGCGTTATTGTAACTTAAATACACTTGACAGTTTCATGCGCTTTTAGTATTTACTAGTGTTTGTTCTAAATGGTTCTGTCGTCTGCTGTGTTCAGACTTAAGTTGTGTTTGATGTTTGCTACATTCAGGAAGTGTAGCCTACTTTCTTGGAGCAGATCAAATAAAAAGGGAGTTCATATAGCTGACTGCTTGTATTCATTGACGAAAATGTAGGCATGTGCAGTAATATTGAAAAAGTGAGGATGCAACGCAACGTGATATCGAACCGAATTGAATCGTGAGACAAGTGACGACAAAAACCGTGGAGGTCTGTTGGCTTTGGAACAGAAGGAGAGAGAGACATAGGGAGAGATGGAGCAGTACATACATTGCCTCCACGGGGCGAATGCCTCAGATTATCCTTGGATCCGCACTTTGACTGTACGTGACTGAAGTCCAGCTTCTTGTTTAAAATTTGAATCTAGAAAAATACAAAGATATGTGGCTCTTTTAATGAAGATGGAAACACACACACACACACGCACACACATTCAGACAAGTGGTAGCCGTGCACTGGTGAGACGGGTCAGTAAGAGAGGTAAGATAACAACCCATAAAGATGAACTTGACCCGTCTCTTGGTGCTCACAGCACCTGCAGCCAAAAATCAAATGGGCAATTCCCAGCCATTAAAAGTGAAGCGTTGACAAAGCAACAAAGTTGAGTTGAGGTCAACTTTATGCTAATGTGCAGCAAGTATAACACAATGCGGCTAGTGGAGAGCAATGCCTGTCTACAACCAACCATCAGTGCAGAAACGTGTTGATTTAATCACTGTCAGTGTGAACGCCCCTTAAGGGTTAAACTGCAACTGTACTCATTGTTGACACCGTTTCCAACAGTTAGACACTTATTTTATGCTAATTAATGCAGAATGTCTCTCCATTAAGTGAAGCCATCACACTTAAGGGCTGAATAAATTAACATGGAAGTAGTTCCAGATAAACATTACAAATTAAATTAGCTGTTACATGTAAAACTCTTGCTCTCATGCTAAAGCCTGCAAAAGTCAAATTCACTTCCTGTTGGGGTCCTTATTTGCAAAATTTTCAACAATCCCCAAGAGATCGCACTATTAAACTTGGATATTGTGAGTCACTCTGCAGGACTCACTGACCTGTGACAAAAGAGTATAATAATAGTATTTAAAAAATGTTAGCTTTAATAAAACATGTAAAATAATGGTATTTTACATTTAAAGTTATTACATAATATAACATAATAAAGATATAATGTGTGTGTGTGTGTGTATATATATATATATATATATATATATATGTGTGTGTATAAATGTACATATTACATTATCTTTTATATATTACATATTTAAATAATTACATATTATGATATCTTTATGATGTTATTTTATTTTTATTTATTTTTAATTCTATTTCTTATTTTATTGGTCATGAATTTCATGAATTATGAAATGCTGCATATTTATATTACATACACTGTAAAAAAAAAAAAAATTGTACCTTCCCAACTTAAAATTTTCTAGTGACTGGTCTCATCTAAATTTTTCAATTGGCCCAAGTGAAATTCTGCACATTTAATTTGATCAATTTGCAGAATTTCACTTGAGCCAATTGAAAAATTTAGATCAGTCACTAGAAAAGTTTGAGTTGGGAGGTTAGAAATGTTTTACAGTGTATGCTATTGTATATACGTATTGTACTGCATATATAAACTAATAAGCTAATTATCAAATTAAAGAATAATGAAAATCTAAGTGAAATTGCATCATTAAATTTATTGCATAGTGAAAGAAAATAAGGAGAATATTGGGGCTTTTAATGCCCCTCTCCAATAAAATAGGTGTAAGAACAAGAAATACCTAAGAGGCCAATGAAAATTAATCAGTCAGTGCAACATTATATGTCTATAAAGTCTATAAAGGCTAAATGTACTTTAGTCCATCAAACACCAGACTCATGCGATGACACCTGACTGCTGTAGTCAATGTACAGTGACGGTTTCACAGATCACCTGATGCACAATCCATTTAGCTGTTATTGCAGTGGAACGGAGACTTCAACAATGCACTCACCACCAGGCTGTTGGCTGTTGTAGTAGCATGCTTTTAACTGGCCTCAGCTGTTTTCTAAGACAGTGTTCATTTATTAGGGAATAGGGATTTGGACCTGGGCTGGTTCAGAAAGCAGGACAAAGAGAACAACTGTAGTACTGAAATCTCTTGAACACACACTCTTGCACACATAGCAGTCTACTTAAATACTGTAAACCCGAATGAAGTGCACCAAACACCGGCGCAGAGGGGGTGATGGAGAACAATGCACAGATGATGACCCTTCAGGGAGAGAGACAGCTGGAGCCAGACCCAGAGTCTGTGTTTGGTCTCGAGACATACATGAGTCATGAAAGTTCTTAATACACTCTTCAAGCTATGACAAAGTCAAATGTAGTGAGGTCAACTCTGAGTGATGAAAAGTGCCATGAAACATACATAAACGCAACACACACACACACAAACACACACAAAGAATGTTAAATGGGTCACACGAGTAGTCAGATTTTTGCTTAATCTTATCTCAATCGTGTTTTGAGATCATTTTACATGAAAACATACAGCAACTTTCAGAAGTCAAAACTTCCACCAAAGTTTAGGGCATTTTTTAAAACTAAGCTGCAAACAATTGCTCGTTTTGAACATCCATTTAAGCGATAAAGTTTTCAAAGAAGTCTTAAAGGTCCAGCAAAACAAAAAACTCCACTATCATTATAGATAATAATAATAATAATTCATTACATTTATATAGCGCTTTTCTGGACACTCAAAGCGCTTTACATAGAAGGGGGGGAATCTCCTCAACCACCACCAATGTGCAGCATCCACCTGGATGATGCGACGGCAGCCATATTGCGCCAGAACGCTCACCACACACCAGCTTACTGGTGGAGAGGAGACAGTGATGAAGCCAATCAGTATATGGGGATGATTAGGAGGCCATGATGGACAGAGGCCAAGGGGCAAATTTGGCCAGGATGCCGGGGTTACGCCCCTACTCTTTCGAAAGACATCCTGGGATGATGGACTAGATGGACTTCATACGGTAGGACATTTCTTAAAGATTAGATGATATCTAAATGGGAATGTTACTCTGCAGGATTCACAAACTGGTGACAAAATAGTATAACAAAAGTAAGGTTTTTCTTTACATTTTAACATAATACCGTGTGTAAATTCATGACCAGTCAAAAAAAAAAATCTTTGAGGACAGTAAAATGATTTGTATTAAAAAACAGCAAAAATTATATTTTAACAATGTTTTCTTAAACCATAAGTATTAAAGGCACAGCAGCACATATGTACCATGTATTTCTATAGGTCAGAAAGATGGTGAAATATGATCATGAAGAACTAAATTATGACTTAAACGTACAGTATGTAATTTTTGGCCACCAGGGGTCGCTAATCTCTTCCAATAACAAAGGTGTATTTTGATGACCCAAAGCATCAAGCGGAATTATGGAGTGAATACACTGATGTTTTTAACATGACTGTGGTATGAAGCAGGGCGCGATTGCTAATGAGAGACGTATATCAGCGCCACACGCAACGTGAGTCCCGCGGATATAAAGGAATAAGGACATTTCAATTTCTACCGAACTACACGCAAGTGCTGAATTAATAAGTTACTCGCAGGTCAGTTTATTAGACGAATTAAACTTGAGGTAACGCAGCGCTGTTTCACTTGCTCTAACAGTAACACTATCACACTAACCCGGAATTTGAGTGTGTTGAATGTTGTTAGTTAGGTTGTTTGTTTGCTGTATGAGACTAGCAGTAAGCTACTGTAGATCAACATTAGAATAACATACAGATCATATTCTAACATTTCATAATATTGAACTAAATAACATTGATTAGTTTTATGTAACGTACATTTGCTCACCTGTCTAATAAAGTACATGCAACACTCGCGTATCTGTCAAGTCGAAGTTAGTCGCGGACGTGGAGCTCTCGGCATCTCGAAAGATTTTGATCTTCGTTCAAGTCCTCTTTTTGTCTCAAAGTCTGCTTGCCATGGTCCAAAATGTTTGAACAAAACAACAACAGCGTGAGCGTCCTGCTAGGCATAACCCAGTTGTCCACGTCTGTCGCCATGGTTACTATGGCAGTACGAGCGGAAACCGAGGGTGACGCAGATATGACGCCATTGACTGGCGACTCCTCACCCCTGCTGACATGTCCCGTTTCCTTGGTTAAAATCGCAATTTTCTCACGGTTTACAAATAGTTGGAAACATTGGGGATATTGTAAGTAATCAACTAAACAAAATATAACATTGGCCTAGTGGTTTATGGATATATTTAACTTCAAAAATCCTACATATTGTACCTTTAAGATGACATAAGACCTTAGGATTTAAGAAATGAGGTATGATACAATTTCTACATTTATCAAATCTTCTATACTGTATAAATTATCATCATTAATTATGTTAAAAAATAAAATATTTAATATTGTCTGTTTTAATAAAAGGAGAAAAAAAAACACTGACTTTGTGGGGGGGGGGAATAAAAATAAAATAGGTATGATACAACCTCAGTGGGGATGTTATTAAAACTATATTATTATATTTTTTATTATTATATTATTAAATTAGAAAGTAAACATCACTATTACTTATATTTGTAAAGTAAAACAATTTAGATTTGACCAGACAAGTATCTACATAACTTCGCTCTAGAGCGGATGCATCTTTGCAGCTTTTAGACGAATATTAATCCAATGAAATGTTCTGACATTAAACACGCACATGCTTTCAGAGTTTTCCAGTTTCCGGGTTTTCAGACTGTCCCCGTCTGCTTCAGTGGCCCTCAGTAGACATATTATGTCATTAAGGCACAGACAGGCGCAGTACTTTTATCCAGTCTCACCCTTGGGCAAACACAGACTGGCAGTGGCCGCCACATGCCCGCTCACTCAACCCTGAGAGATTGTGGCTCATGTCACTGTCTCTTAGACCTGTTCTGTGAGTGACTATGCTGGGGAGACACCCGCTGTCATCCAGGGGTGAGGGAGCATTTGGGCCCAGACAGATTCAGGCCGTGGCATAGGTTATACAACACACCCTCCTTAGGGTGTCCTGAGTGGCCTAAAATGAACTCCAATGCCATTTTCAAGTTCACTAAATGATTCATCACTGTAAAGTCTAAAGGGCTCAAAAAGACTAGGGACGAACTTAGAAAGTGACAATGATTTAATTGCTACTTTTCAGTATTATCAGTCATTGCTTAAAAGGCGTAACAATCTACATTTCTGTTGTATTTCATTATTATATGATTATGTAAGTCAAGATTTTTTTCATCAAATTAAGTTTTACATGAATTATCTATTTGATGCAAATGTAGTTTTATCTATTCACTCCCTGGACCTTAAGAGTTAATTCATTTTGGATAAAATTTACTTTTCTTGCTACGGTACTTTTAGCTTTTAAAGGCAATATGAAATCAAATCTGTATTTAGTAAACATCATTGTTAGTCTTTTTTTTTTCTTCTAAATTTTAACTGTTTTGATGAATAAGCATTATAACATTATAAATGGACTTCATTGGGAGAAAAGATTTCAAAATGAAATAAAAATCATATAACCTCAATAGGAATGTTATTAAAATAATTCTTAAAATTATTTTAAAAAATACCATTGTATCCAATCATTTCCCGATCAAGCCCGGTCCAACATTTAATATTATTTCAAATGTAATCATTTAATATCGAGTTGTTTGTCAAAGTTTTCACTTCAAAAGTGCAAGAAAAAACAATGTTGTCCTCATTAAAAACTTTATAATATGTTTCACAATATTATATTTTCACACATCGTTTTCTCAAGAATTGCAATCTAACACATTGTCTCTGAGACATATAAGATAGACAAACTCAATTACTCCAATGTCCTTCCTTATAGTTTATCACTGCAGTCTCCCACCCCAATAACCTCCCAATCTCCCACTCCTCTGGCTGACGAGATCCTTTTCTCTGCACTGCTGCACACTGCCACGGGCCAGACATAAACATGTCACTCCAGCACGCAGCCTACACCCTGCTCATTACAGCGAGCATGCATGAAATGACCTAAAAACACAAGAGTTGTTTATATCAAGAGCCTGTCCCCATCGTCCCAAATGAACTCTTTTCATCCTGGAAAACAAACCTACAAGACCAGAGTGTCCTAGACATAGGAGGAAAACAACCTTGGCGCATGGGTGTATATGCATTCATGTCATGTGTGTATCCTTGAAGTTTCTATAATCCCAAAATGCAACCTAAGGCTATCTAGCATACAATCAAATAATTCCAAAAGTTTTCTGTATTAGAACAGTCTCTCCAGCATTTCTATATGAGATGTTGAAATAGAGAGTAAATAATAATAGATAGTCAGACTCAGTCATAACTTATTATTTAGTACTGGGGCAAAAGCTGATGGTATATGACTGTTAAAAATGTTATATTTTTACATTTAAATATACATATACTTATATAACATAACTTTATATTGTTTTTCTTTATAAAATTACTTATGCAATTAATTGAATCAACTGACAGCCCAAATATTCATTTAATACAGAATAGCACAGTTATGGTCTGGAGACAGGTTCTACGTCCTTATGATCATCTCAAAGTGCAAATGTTGCCGTTTAAAATAAAAGTTATATAATAAATAAATAATATGAGGTACATTTTTGGAACATGATTTGCTCCATGTCATAAGAACAAGTGCTATATTACCTTCCAGTCAGGCAAAGAACCAGTCAATCCAAGACAAGTGAAATGGCCTAACAGCTATAATGTGCAGCCATTAGCATGAACACAGTGAACTGATACATGCGAATGAATGCGAAACACAGTAAAACACACTTTAAATGACAGTGTGCACACAGGGAACAGAATCGACCCCGAAGGAGCATAAAAACAGCAAGAAAGACGGATGGGGAGGGGGACAAAGAGTGGATAGTTGGCTATTAGCCTCAGTTGGGGTGAAATCAGGATGAATTGGGAGCATTTGGACTTGCCTGGCCCCCCTTGGGCTGGTACTTGATGTTGTCAATGGAACCGATCTTGGATCTGACGTTCTTGAGGTCAGGCAGCGGCTGGTTAAGGACGCGCAGCTGTTTGGGTGTAGTCGCCGGAGATTTTGGAGGTGTGCGGATGATGGCCACTTTCTTCTCCTGTGACAGCAGGCTGAGGGATTTGGGGGTGCCCGGAGTGCGGGGGGTTCCCGGAGTACGGCAAGAGTAGCTGGGAGGGGTACCAGGGGTGATGGCCGTGGACCCGGGGGTGCGGGGTGTGGAGGTGCCACTGCGGGCCGAGCGGGACCGAGCAGACTCTGTGCCTGCAGTTGAAACAGAAATGAATTAGCAGTTTAAATGCTAGGATTTAGGAAGTGCAACATTAGCAAATGTATTCTCACATAAATAATACAGTGCAGTCTAAAGTCCACTAGTGAAAATGCTCCTATTTAGCTTTTCCCTAATTTAATACAACAGATATGATACTGAGACCTGTTTTCAGAGAATGTATGTTTAATATAGATACAGTAAGATTAATTTTCAAATTAACCATTTTTATTCAGCAAGGGTGCATAAAACTAATTAACAGTGTCAGTTCTATAAAGTTCTATTTCAAATAAATGCTGTTCTTCTGAAATTTCATCAAAGTATCCTGAAAAAAGTATCATAGTTTCCACAAAAATATTAAGCAGCACAGTTTTTAACATTAATAATATATGGCAATGTTTCTTGAGCTGCAAATAAACATATTAGGATAACTTCTGAAGGATCATGTGATACTGAAGACTGAATACTGAAAATTCAGCATTGCCATCAAAGGAATAAATTACATTTTAATATTTATATTAAAAATATATATGTATTTTAAATTGTATTAATATTTCCCACTTACTGTTTTTACTGTATTTTTGATCAAGTAAATTAGGTTTTCACTTACTATCAATAAACCATTTAAAATCAAGGGAAAGCTGAATTTATGAAAACAAGTCTTAATATCTTATGCAATGTTGCTTCTAAAGTTAATTTTTAGATCTTCTTACTGGAAAAGCAAAATAATACTAGATTAGAAGTCATTTCTTTGCATAGTGGACTTTTTCAGAGTTTGGGTCCCCACATGATGATGACAATGATAGATAATAAATCTTACTATTGATTTTTAAAAGGCATTATGTATAAAAAAATATTTTATGGACTTTAAATGCCACAAACACAAAATGGAAAAGTGTACTCACATGCATAACTGAAAAAAAGTACAAATGAAAAAAAAATCCCTATGTAAAACAGTGCCTATGAAAATTATTCACCTTTTTAAATTATTGTTAGAGCTCCACTTCTGTAACAAAATGTGCTATTGGGGTGAATAACTTTTAAATGACACTGAATTTTTTTATGGTGACTGTATCCTTGCACAGGACAGCAGGTATGAAGGACTGATGATTAACAGGATGAAACAGTAGGGATGGGACTCTATACCTGTCATACTATGAGACCTGCCTGTCCTGCGCTCTGCTTTGACTTCAGTACGGAATGCTACAGGAGCAGGGGAAGAAAGGGTGTGAGTGTATAGAGTATGAGTTAAAGAAAGTCTGTAGATCCTGAAGCAGAGAAGATGTGTCTAAAAAAAGATCCAAACGTCTCCGAAAAGCTTTGAGGAAGCAATACATATTCTTCAGGCAACGCACAAGACTTTAAATTAGTACTTTATTCATCAATTCTTGCAGCGCATACTGGCTTTTTGTGAAATGAAAACCATGCAATAGTAAGAAACTGTCATGTATTCATTTTTATTGTAGTAAGTAATCTGTATAATCAAAATAAGTGATAATTAAGTCTGATCAATATCAGACCGAAGAGCACCCAAATCAAACTCAAAAGGAATTGAGCACGCCATTCATCTTGAATCTAAACAATATCAGATATTATTATATATGGGGGTTGTACGTGTATTAAAGAAATAAAGATGCATATTGCTCAACTGCAGGTTATTTTTACTTTTATATGCCACATTACTCTGGCTTTAGAAGTGTTGCGTTAGATGTCAGGATGTGCATTAAACAACTGGGTTTGCTTAAACAAAAAAAAATATGCGTTGTCATCACTTTATAATGAATTTAATTATTATAACAATACTGCTTAACAGATCATTGAAACCGCAGAACTCTCCAATATCCTCATTAGAATCTGCAAGTCTAAAGAACCTAGAAGAGTGGTTGCTTGTTTTGCATTGTCATGGTAATTTGTATCATACCATTCAAGCAAAAGGGGGAAAAGGGAAAGAAACTGAGAGGAAAATATAGAGATAGAAACAATAAAAACAGTGATTCCAACTGTGATGCCTCTTACATGTGGGCCTGCGTGGTGCTGTGGACCCAGAACTGGTAATGGAAGTGGAACTCTCCTCGTGCTCAGCCATGTGTGAGCGACGGGTTAGTATGGATGCTGGACGTGGCAGGGATGACCTCTTCTCTGGGCTCCGAGAACCACCATCCTGAGGACAGAATCATTAATCCTGTTGGAATCATGGGGAACTTAAAACAATAGTGCATGCAAAACAAAAGTTTAACAAATTCTAGGATGCTGTTTTCTCTGGAAAGTTACAAGTTTCTAATATTGTGCAGAAGCAAATAGTCATTTGAACCATCTCGCTCCCTGCTTACCTTTACAACATATATATTTAGCGATACTTGTGGGCCCGCTGAAGAAGGACGGGGCTCATAAAGGTCTGCCTCGACCAACGGGCTCCTTTTATTGGAGGAGCTGGCGGAGTTCGGCCGGGCCGGCAACAAAGCCTCTGCCCGAATTTTAGAGGTAGGGATCTTTGTTAGTGTTGTGGGATTGGAGGTCTATGATGAGAGGAACACGGACAGATGAGCGATTCATGCATGGTGAAAATGAAACCAAAAACATGAAATAAAAGTCAGCATGAAAGAATGTTTACACAAAGGAAATGAACAACATCTGACCACACATTTGGGGAAAACAAGGGCATTAAATTCTGGGCAGAATGCATAACCACTCGGGCAATAAAAAATGAGCAAGCACAAAAAAAAAAAAAAGAAGAAAACGTGTTGAGTTTCACTGAATGTAGTGTTAGTACATGGGCCATTAAACTGCTTCAGGGGGCACAATGTATCACTTTAAGGTGAAGGAAATAAGGAGGAAAGGTCATGCAAACTTGTAAAACAAACACAATGCAGAAATGAGATGTGATGTACAGACAATACAAAGAGTGGAAACCAAGGGACTGCGTAGAGGCTCAAAATGCAGCTCTGTCACATTCTGCTAACTCTGTTTAAAAGCAGTGTGCACTATTCATAATTGAATTTAGAATACTTAAATTCCATATATATTATGTATATGTACAAACTACAAAATTACAAACAAACTACAAAATTAAAAAGAAGACCTTTGGTATGTTTGTGTAAAATTTTATATTTAAAATATAATATTATATTTATGAGTACTTGAGCGGATCCCTAGTATACAGACTCGACTATTTATCGACAGCCTGTTAAGCGAATTTTACATTAGAATTGGGGACATTATATTTGTATAAAATTGAAATCTGATATGGTTCTTACAGACACCCGATCTCTGGAGTGCCTGGCCACACTGAAGGGCAGTCGGCCATCTGCAGACACTGCAGAGAGAAAGAGAAAAAGAGAGATTGACAATGATAAAGAGAAATATTGTTTCCATGGCCTTAGAGATATATCCTCTCTAATGAAAATAGAGCGTATTGAACATTACACACAAGCAAACACACTGCAAATGTAATCTTGAATTCAAAAGCAGCCACATGTACATGACATTTTTAAAAGCTTTTTTATACTTATTTTATTATTTATCATAGAGCTGAAGTGTGTAATATCACAGGTTTGATTGATCAAACAGATAGTGCTGCCCTAAACTCACGCCATTGGTCGAGTCAATGTTGTGGTGTGGGCTGGTCAACTAATAGATCAATGTCCTGAAAGCGCCACAGAACCAAAGTGTTTAACTTTTCAAGCAAATCAACCAACAAATGGCTTGTAGTTCTCTCTGAAAATTAACTGAGATTTATTTTTTAAATGCTCAAGCCAAAGTATTTTTAATTGGGCTATTTAGGATCAAATATGAAATGGATTGTTACTCACAACTGAATATTTTGTAGCTACTGGAAAGCTCTGCTCTGAAACAACTTGGCACAGCATAACAGAGAATTTGAAAATGAACTGTATTTTATAAGAGGCTTTTCAGTAAAGTCTAATTGGGGAATTGCAGCAATGTATCAGATGTCTACCATGAATTCAAGCACAATTCCCAGAAAGCTAACAGTGGAACTTCATTATGGCACAGTAAGTTCCTTTCCTCCAGAGAGATGGAGGCCATTTCTTTTAACCAAGCGCCTAGAACTCACTCAAACCACCAGTTGCCTGGAGACCAATGCAACGCACAACATTCAATAAGCAGCATCGCTTTGAAAAGAAAACAAAGTGTGAACAAGCATGTACAACTGAGAGAACACGTGCAGACAACAAAATGAAAGGTCAAACTATAAGAAAATTAATACATTATAAACAAAACAATTGAATAAAACACCAGTGAGCCTCATTACAAACACTGCATGAACATAAAACGTATGTAACTAAAACAATCGGTTATATAAAATACATGAAAAGAAAAACAAATAAAACAATAGACAAGCATCACTCTTAAAACAACATGCCAATGCCCATGTTTGCCAGCCACATTGCAAAACAGCTCCTTGTGACAGAGATCACCTGTGGGTTTCCGTTTAACACACGCGTGATGTTGAGTAGGTCTAGGGTGCCTTACGGTAGCCTTTAAAACACTCTTCCGGGAAGGAGAGCACGTCTGAATATCAGATTTTTTTGTGAACTCAGCCTTCTTAATCAGAGCTACAAGAGGGAGACAAAGAATCAGGGACAGTCACAGCAGCAGTGCGATTCAGGACAATAGGAGATACAGTCACTCCCCTTAAAAGATCAATTAATCTTTTATTAAAATAATTATTCAACATAGATGTCATGGGGCGGGGGGGGGGGGGAGAAAACATGATTGGATGAAGCATGATAAATTAATTTATTTTAATAAAAATGTAATTCAAGAAGATTGCTTTCACTTTATAAGTAAAAAAAAAAAAAACTTAATACAAAATGCAACATTTGATACATGACATCAATCCAAAGTGGAAATAAACAAAGATTTAAGTATTTAATTTGTTTAAATAAAAGTAAAAAAAAATTAAAACATGTGGAGGGCTATAGAAAATGCCCATCATAATGGAAAAAATAAATACAGGATATACATAATAAACAATGTCACTCCAGCAACAAAAACCTTTTTTCTTCTTTAGCTCATCTTTCTGGATGGGTACCGGCTCCTTGCGAATAGGTTTACGTTCAGGGGTGGTGATTCGTCCTTTTGCCCTGCCACCTTTAGCCCTCTGTTTGATTGGTTTCTCTGTGGGAGGTTTCTTGACAGGGCTCATCACTCTGGGTAGAGGCTCAATGTTCTCCGTAGCCATGCTCTTATCATCATCTACAGAGTACATAAAGTGAAACAGGCAAGCTACTCTTATACCAGGGTGTAAACATGCATTTACTTGAAATTCAACATGGCTCTCACATACAAATTGTATTGCTGTATACTGGCAAGCCAGTTAATTTACGCTCTCACAGAAATAATAAAATGACAAATTGTATTGCTGTATATTGGGAAGCCAGTTAATTTACGACCGTTTCAAACTACCTAAAAAGATAGACAACAAGTTAACAATTCTGAAAGATTCTGTCATTTGCTGAGCAAATTTTAATGCAAAACAGATATTAAAATCACACCTTGAGTGTCCACCCAGGAGCTGTCTAAGATGGAGTCATCAATGGTAGTTTCATCTTTGTAGTCGTCGTAGCTTTGAGTTGGGGCCTCACTCTCTGGCACTTCTATCTCTTTAGCTGGACATACAGAAGGCTCAATAGGCTCTGGAACATCTACAACTTCCTCTAATCTGGGAGCCTCCATCTCTACTTCCTGTGCCATTTCCACAGACTCCTCCTCCTCTTCCTCCTCTTGGAGGAGCTTTGGATGTTCTTCTTCAGAGGGAGCTGAGAAACGTACACTGTGTCCAGAGACTTCGCTCTCATCGATGGTCTGCACCACCGTGATAAAATCATCTTCTACTGTCACTATTGACTCAATTGCAGCTCGAGACTCAACAGTGTCTTCTGCAGCTTTGGCCCCATCCAAGACTTCCTCATCTTCCACTTCTTCTTTCTCGACCACTTTAACCTCCTCTTTTTCGACTACAACCTCAATTGGCTCAGTTTTATCAACCACTGGCTTCTCATCCAAGTTTAGAGCTGGCTTTGGTTCTGGCATAACCTCTTCAGGCTCCTTAGCAAGCTCAACCTCTTCCTCTACTTCTTGTGTCATTATGGTGTCAACAGAACCCTCATCTGTCTTTGAAGGAGCTGGCTGGGGTTTCTCCTCAGCAACTTTCTCTTTGAGGAGCTCCACTGAGTCCTTCTGCTTTACCTCCTGCTCAGAAGGTCTTTCCTCTCTAAAATATTTCTCAAAAGAGCCAACTGGAGATAATCTATTAGGATCTGTTTTTAGAGCCTCTTTCTTACCCGGTGATCTAGGTTTTTCAAACTCACCAACATGCATTTTCTCCTCATCGGTGGCACTTTCTATAGAAGATGCTGGAGATGGTCTAATGGGCCGAGCAATTCTGTCCTTTGCAGCTCCGGTGAGCTGGTATGCATCCTCTGCATCCACCTCCTCATAGGCTTCCTGGTGCACAAGGTCTGGTTTATTCTTCACCTTCTCCCTGAGTTCCTGGAGTTCCCGTTCCTCCTCTACACTCAGAGGCCGGTCCTCCATCTCCAATTTGCGAATTTGCCTCTCATAGTCAGCAATTTCAGCTTCGGTTTCAGCTGCAAGATTAGTACCTGCATCAAAATCAGACTTTGGTTCCTCAAGAGTAACCGTCACTTTTGGTGTGATAAATGTTTCAGCTTGTTTGTCTAACTGTCCTTTCTCATTATCAGGTAAAGTTGGACTCTTGATTTCTTCCAAAGGTTCAGTCTCCAAAAGATCAGACTCATCTTGCTTAGACTCTGTAGAAGGTTTTTCAGAAGGTGCACTTTCATTTTCAAAGGGATCTTCATTCCTTGATTTTTCTTTTGCTGGTTCTGCCTGTGGTGAAACAACCTCTGTTGCTTTCAGATCTTCAGTCGATAGACACTCCTGTTTTCCAAATGCATCAAGACCAGTTTCTTTTTCCTCTGATATCCCTGTTTTGAAGATTTGAGGAGAACAGTCCATTGGACTGTGCACATCTGCAGGGGATGGCATGGGACCAGAGTATTCACTAAAGACACAATATCCTTGCTCCTCTAGCTGCATTTCTCTCTTTGTAACCATCTTGCCCTGGTCACCTTTGAACAAATGTGCTAATGAATCACTCACCATAGAAGACATGTCCATTGGGACAGACTTCCTCCTCATAATATCTGGTTCTGTGTTGTCAGACGTCAACCTTGATCGGGTACCTGCCAGGTCCAGCATTTCAGGCAGGTCTGGGGCCATGACGGTGCCGTTTTTATAACAGCATTTGGCTTGGACAGGTGATTCTGGAGACTCTGTCTGTGGACTTGTCTTTACATCAGTGATTGTTGCTTGGGGAGGTGAAGATGATGGAGTTGTGACAGAGGCAGTTGTCTCCAAGATCAGTGGCGGAAACTGAGGGATATTCTCCACTGAGGGAGTTGTGACAGGAAGGTAATCGGCAGATTCGTCAAGGCTCCCACTAGTATGAGACATGATGTCGGTGGCCAATGGAGAGAAGTTTCTGGGACTTCCTTGGGCATCGCCATGATTCACTGCCCCAATGGAGATATTCAAAGAGTAACTTCGTTGATCTAGAGCCAGTTTTCCAGGAGACAGTCTGCAGTCATCTCTTCTCTCTGCTGGTGAAGTGGTGTGTAGTGTGTCTGCGCTACTTTTTGGAAGATCTGGCTGGACTTCCAAAGAGTGTGTTTGAGCCAAAGTGCTGTAGCTGATTTCGGGAAGTGGCAGGTTACCAATAGAGTCCTTTTGTTCTTCTGATGTAGTACTCAGCTCATAATACCCTTCTCCTTGAGACCCAGCAGCATCCGTCTTAATTGTAGTGGTCTCAAAATAAGCAGACATGCCAGATTTGTCCTTCATGTCCCCCTCTGTTGCTGTTTTTTCTATTTGTTTGTCTTGAATCTGCTCTGGTTTGACCTCATGGATATTGCCGGAGTCACCTGCTTCGGTTGAAGGCTGTTTCACAGCACCACTTTGTACAACAGGCTTTTCAGTTGGATCTTTGGCATGACCCTGGTAACTTGGAGGCACTTCAAAATCCTCCATGGGGCATGTTCGAGCAAAGGGGCTTTCTGGCATATCTATGTCTCTGGCAAGGCTCTGGTAAGATGGGAGTTCATCATCTAGATGCATTGCGGAATCAGTGAAGTCCATGCCAATGGGATCTGTCCTCTCGCTTTCTGGCCGCTCTGCTTCCATCTTCACAGCTGAAAGCAAATCTCAAGTAGTCTGCATTGTATTGCATTATTAATAATTCAAAGTACAAGTTTGCCAGGCCAACCACCACACAGACAGCCAAAGCTCTTGGTAAAAAGAACTTCCATTTTCAAATAGCAGCAGCCGATGATACACACATACCAATTCAGTGATGGAGTGATGGCATGGATATGACAGGATCAGCATGCAAACCCAGAACATTTAATGTTGCGTGGATGAGGTCCAGAAAATGAGGATGAAATATCCAAGGAGGTGGTCCAAACACGATACTGACGTCAGTACACCAGCAGCAAGATGGAATAGCTGATCTTAAAACTTCTGCCAAATACATATTCAGAGATTATGGAAAATGACTTGTGGGTCTGATTTTCAGAAGATAATACAATATTGGTGAAATCTAAAAGACAACAATGTGCAAGGTACTGTTTAATGAGGCTCATTTTAAGCACTAAATGGGTATAAATTACAATTATACATGTGGCTGACTGTAATTGTCTTAAAATACCACTCATGAAATAAAACATAGTTTTTCATTATTCAGAATTGTTCTACATTTCCTATTATGTTAACCATGTGAAATGACAATGATCATTTGAAGAAAAAAGCAAAATGAAAATTAACAAATAAAATTTGAATCAACAAGCTTGGCTTTTCAAATGCCTTTGAAAATAAAGCATAACACAATATCACAATGTCACAAAAACAGGATTCTCATAGAATCCCACATGTAAAAACAGGTGTTTTGTTGGCGCATGCAGCAAAAATCACCCACAAACTGGCAATGTAGCTGGCAAATAAAAATTAACTGAGCAATGGAAAACAATGAGAGAGGTCGACCTGGCAGCAGTAGCATCAATAGAGAAATAAGCAGAAAGTTCAGAAAAAGCTTCATCAGATAGCTAGCAGATGGCAGCTGCTCTGGGAAAAGCAATTTAGTAGAAAGACATTGACAGACAAACACACAACTCTGGCCACAGAAGCTGGTCACCATCAAGCCTGTGTTGCCTTGCAGCATCAGCAGATAGAGGAGATATTTGAGCCATCCACCCACATTCCCTTAGAAAGCTCTCACGATGCTTTCGCTTAGCTTTTTTTTGTGAAGGGAGAGAGAAACATGCAGGTTGTGAGAAGGATGGACACACCTTCCGCAAGGCTTTCTTGCCCTCCTGCCTCCTCAGATCTCCCATTAGGGGCCTCGTCAGCAGCAGTAGCTGCCTGGGTGTGAACCACAGCCTCGGCCTGCAGGCCGGGCAGAGCCTGGGCCTCGCCTATGACCTCTGCCCGCTCTAGGAGCTCAGATGGGGATTCCTGCTCAGGCTCCTCCCCACTCCACTGCTCCTCCTCATCCTCCTCTTCCTCTAGAGCTGCTGCTGTTGCTGCGGCTTCTGAAGTCTCCTCCTCTTCCTCCTCCGCAGCTGAGAGACTCTCTATGGTCTCCTCTTCTTCATAAAGAGGGAGACAAGTGGAAACATCAAGACTATAGACAACACAGACTTGGGTTACTTAAAAGGTGGGACACTTTCAGCTCTATCAGTTATGCCATGACTTTTGCCGTATGTATGGGTGTTTTCTCTGACCTTGAGTATAAGTGGTAGCAGATAAAATAAGAAGATGAATATGCAATCTAATTCTGCACATAATGTTTTAGAATTTTATATATTAGCAATTTAATGTGACACTGTTTTGTGATGGAAAATCAGATAAGACCGAAATAACAGAGGTAACTGATTATTTTCTCACAATTTCAAAGAACCATTTTTAATAATGCATTTGACTAAAAAATCAGTTCAGATCACTCCGCTTGTCTGTGTTTGCAGTGTTTCAGACAGGCTGTGCTTTGCTCTGTAACATGCATCAGTTGATTTTACTTTGGCCAGATTTGAATTATTTTCCAATAAAAAGAGACACAATGCTGATCATATTGTGTATAAAATGATTTTCTTTTTATAGCCAATAATATCATGGTGATATTCAGCAGAAAATCCAGATTATTAATTTCCAAATATGTACCTCTCAGTTACATTATCAATGCTCTTTTCAAAAGTTTATGACAAATACTCTATATCAGCTCCTTCATTTGTTCAAATTTATTCTTGAACATGAAACATTACTTGCACACAACACACTAGCACACAACGCTGTGTGCATCTGCATTGTCTCTCACAACTGAGACCCAACAAAACCCACAGCACCATAATAATGCCGGTCAGGGAGCTATTGAGATGTCAGAATGAATGTGAAACCGGAGATGCAGAATTTTTGCTCAGAACAAAGCTTATGTATGATGTAGTTCAGAGAGAGAGAGAGAGAGAGAGAGAGAGAAAGGGAGATAAGAAACTGCAACAGTCTCTGCTGAGAGCCAGGCTAGATATGGTGACGAAGACCATACCAGGTCACATCTCAGCAGGATGCTGCAGTGGAAGGAGAGAGAGAGAGAGAGAGAGAGAGAGAGAGAGAGAGAGAGAGAGAGAGAGAGAGAGAGAGAGAGAGAGAGAGAGAGAGAGAGAGAGAGAGAGAGAGAGAGAGAGAGAGAGAGAGAGAGAGAGAGAGAGAGAGAGAGAGAGAGAGAGAGAGAGAGAGAGAGAAAGAGAGAGAGAGGTGGACAAATTGGCAGCAACTCAATGTCAAATGTAGAAAGTTCTAAGGGATTTAATGATTCTAATTCTACTTAATGCATTATTTTAGTTCTTTTGAGTAAGCAACACAACCTTAAACTCAGACTCAAAAAAGTGTTATTATTGTTAACTAAAGTAAATATTAATAAAAATAAAATACCTTTATAAAAAAATTATAAGATTAATTATTTCAACTTAAAAAACTAGAAATGTTGCCTTCACGACTAACTGAAATACATTAAAGTATCAAAGTTACTAAACTTAAAACTGATATAAACTAAAATGAAAGCTAAATAATAATAAAAATGTCTAAAGCACGTAAAAAAAAAAAAAAAAAAAGCTAATTAAAAATTGTTAAAGTGTTTATTTATTTGAATTCACTTTCAAAATATAAAAGTTCATTCAAATGAGTAAATATTATAATAGTATATAAATAATACTAAAACAACACTGCTTTAATGTTGTCATACGAGTCAGTTATCTCACAAACAATACACATTACTCATGAACAGTTCTCAGTTAATTTCGAATTGGACATGAATAAGAACTTTTGACCAATTCATTAAAAAGATTTGCTTTCGTTGCACTGGTTGCAATAGAGTTGTGTGTTATCAGTTTATTGTCTTCAGTTATTTTGCAAACAGTCTTTCTATTATAAAATGTGATTCAGATTGCAAGCTTGCAGCTTATAAAACGAAGCAATAAGAAACCATGAAAAACAGCTGAAGATCCTTTGGTTGCAATATTGTCTAAGTTCTTGGCTCATGAAAAAAGGGGTCATGAATTGAGAAATCAAAATTTCCTTGATCTTTTAACATATGAGGTCATTGTACTATAGTTAGTCACAAAAAAAGCTTTTATTGAATCCAAGCTCAGAAAACTTCTCGTTTGGAATTTTGTCACATTATGATGTAATAGTGCGGCGAAAGACCAACCTCTGTAGAATCAAATCAACGCCTACTTCTACATCATTGTGTCTTTGGCCCCGATGAGAAGATATCACTGGACTAAAATAACCTTACCTATCAAAGGATCCTAATTCTAGGAAAGTGGTCATTTATTTTCAACTATGTGAATGGCTCAGCATTATTTCATATCCAAGAAGTTAGCCAATAACTGCAGTGGCCGATTACACTTCTCACAGTAGACACGCCCCTTTCAACAGAGCTTTCAAATCAGAGGGCTAAAATCAGGGTAGAAAATGGTCTTTTATTTCTATATTATGACCATTTTTTATGTAAAAATCATACTAACATTATAGTAAGTGCACCACAGGAAACATTTTAAAATAATAATCCAAAAAATTCAGTTCATGGCTCCTTTAAATTGTAAACACAACCCACACTGAGTCATTTTGGCGCTGAAAGCGATTAACCCTTCTTCACTGATGCAATAAGGTCAGAGATGCTTGTGTGTGTGGGCCACCATTTGAAGAGCTGAAAGTCATCCTGTGATCTACAGCATGTGTACATCAGCAGGTTGGAGAAATGTGAGGGGCCTGTTGAGACGCATGGGTACGTTTTTGGGCCTGATGAGGGACAATCAAAAATACAAATGGACAGACAGGCTAACATACGGGCGGACAGATGCGGAGACAAGAAGACGGCAAACAGGCAAAGGAGAAAATGTGCACAGCATGCACAAATGTCCTGCTGATGCTGCAAGTCATTTGGATTTCATTTTCAGAGTCAGTGATTTTCCTCCTTTAACTGAGCACTACATGTATAGCAGCAGGGATTTTGCCTAAAAACACAAACGTTCCTGCCTTTTTACTGCACGGCACAAAAGTTGCAGAAAATCCGAATGACTTGCAATGAACGAGGTACAAAAACAGATACCACCCCCACACGACACGCTTCGGTCAGAGTAGGCACGACACAACAGAGACAAAAGACAGGAAGAGGCGGACCAGAAAGAGAGAGCGAAAAGCAAGAGAGAGAGAGAGAGAGAGGTGTTGATGCTGAGCTGAAGAAAGAAGTGGAAGGAAAGAGAGAGGAAAAGGAGGAAGAAGGAGAAGGAGGGGAGGAGAGAATGGCAGAGAGGAACCATGCGAGGTTCACCTTCGATCTGTCTAAACGCGGCGGCCTGCCCTGGGGGGCGAGAGCCAGAGCGCGTCCACTCTGGGCTGAATAAAGGGTGCTCATAGTATTCCTCGTCAGAGTGGTAGGGGTCATCCTCAGGCACAGACACTGAGATGGAGGGGGCGAGGAACTTGCACCTCTCGCGAGAATTTTGGAAGCGGCGGAGAGGACCTGCTTCCTCCTCATCCCCTACATCTACAAATAGACACAAGGAAAAGAACTGCAGGGAAATCTGGACAAAGAGACAGAGACAAAGAGACAGAGAGGAAAAGGAAAGGAAGATAGAAAAGGTGTAGCAAGTAAGGGAGGGAAAAAGGAACAAGTGAAAGAGAGAAAGTAAAAAGAAGGCAAATCAGAATATGCAAAAATTGAAGGGGAAGGGAGGAGATAAGAGAGAGAGAGAGAGAGAGAGAGAGAGAGAGAGAGAGAGAGAGAGAGAGAGAGAGAGAGAGAGAGAGAGAGAGAGAGAGAGAGAGAGAGAGAGAGAGAGAGAGAGAGAGAGAGAGAGAGAAAGAGAGAGAGAAAATAAGGGGAAAGAGAGCTAAAAAAAGTGAGAAATAAAACGAGAAAGGAGTATGTGTAATGTGTACGGAAAAGAGAAAGACACACACAACACAAACACAAACACAGACACACAGTGTCGAGAAACACAAAGTGTGACCGTAGTGGCGCTATGCCATAACCAAAGTCTGAACATCTCTGATGACATTTTATAGGTTTGTCTAAAGTCTTAACTGAGGATGAAACTGTATCATTCTTTAGTGTCTGCTGAGAGTCAATAGGAAACCTCATTCACAAACCATTTTATTTTTGTAATGTGAAATATTTATATGAGTGAATAAAAAAGGCTTGGTAAAGGGTCAACGAGTGATTGGTTAATATTAGGTATGCCCAAATATTTAAATTCTGGCTGATACTGATAATTATTTTAATATTTTAGCCAATAACTGATAAATGGCTGATATAAAAATTCTATAATATATTGCATAGATATATACACAAAATAAAACACAGATCAACTTAAAATAAATGGGTATTTAGCTTTATCAGCTTCACGGCACAGTAAAATGTATAAAAATTCAACCTAAAGAAAAAAAGGTTAAACAATTTTGGGTATACATAACTCTATAAAAGATTCTTTAATTGTAATTGGGATCAAAATGGCAAATACATGTAATAAAATGTAGTTACAAGTGAGTTTAATTTTACCTTTAAATGACAAAAAAGGTCAAACCATAAAGCCATAAAGTAAAAGTTGTTCAAAGGAGTAAAAAGAGATGATTTCATTCTTTAGAATAATGTGCACCGATGATTTGCACACAATAATACAAGGAACATGTACTAAAAAAAGGCAATTTTGATTTCATGTTAACTTTACGTCTCCGCTTAATGACTGTGTTTGGCGTAGCTTCTCCTTAAGGTTGTTAGTGGCATTAATGTTTAGTTTAGTAGCTTCAGAGAGTGATCTGAGCATGGCATTGGCCTACCACGGGCAGTAGAGACAGACACAGTCAAAACGACGAACGAGCACAAGCCCACAACATCAACAGCACCTACAATACAACATGCAAATCCAAAGACAGGGACGAACAGAGGAACTGAGAGAGGTTTGGAGCAATCAACAAATCTCTAAAGGGGGGCTTTGGAGAGAGGATGAGCAGGCAATCTGAATGCCACACGGTTTCAGCAACAGCCTGGAAACATCAGCTGCAGGTGACACAGTACAGCATTCAGGTCAAGGTTTAAGGCTTTCATGCAGGGCAGAGTCAAGATCCATGGTTCGGCGGGGTATAAGGAGGGGTTGGGTTTGATTGGTTACGAGAACTAGAAAGGGGTGGGGTCACTTTGGCTTGGGGTTTTGATCAAGATAAGCTCCCGGATTTAGCAATTATGAAGATGAGGCCATGTTTAAGAGCTGAAGATGCTGGATGAGGAAGAGGAGATCGACTTGAATGATGTCAACAAAGGAGGCAAAGTTGATCCTGCAAACACAACTCCATCAATCTTTGGACCAACCCCACAGATCAGCGGCGTGTGGGCATCTGTAGGGCACTGTGAGAGGGTTGAAATCAGCCTGGAAGGGGTGGGACTAGCAGGCGTCCCCAAATAGAACACCCTCATTCAAGCCAGGGTCAGAGGGTGACTAGAATACTCATGGGGGAAAAAAAGGTGTTCAAGTTCTTTCAGTGTGTTTCTCACCTCACCTCTCTCCATACACACATGAAGCATGACCCTACCTTGATCCAAAGGCCCAAAATGTTCCGCTGCTGGGGACGGAGGAGGTGAAGGCGGCAGGTTTGCAGAGTCTTCCACTGTAATTAAACAAAAGAAGAAGAAGAAGAAGAAGAGATCAAGACAATGATCAAGATCAGATCAACACATTTACAAATTCGGCGTCCCATTTTGTCTCTGTTCCTACATACACTACTGTTTAAAAATTTGAGGTTGGCAAGATTTCATGGCTTTCATTCAGCAAGAAGGCATTAAATTGACCAAAAGTGACAGACAGTATAAAGACATTTTTCAATCTTACAAAATGTATGTTTTATGTTTTAAATAAAAGCTTAATGTATCATGGTTTCCACAAAAATACTACGCAGCACAACTGTTTTCAACATTGATAATAATAATAAATGTTTCTTGAGCAGCAAATCAGCATATTAGAATGATTTCTGAAGGATCGTGTGACACTGAAGACTGGAGAAATGATGCTGTAAATTAAGTTTTCCCATCACAGGAATATATTACATTATAAAATATGATAAAATAGAAAATAACAGACTTCTTCCAAAAACATTATAAAATCTTATCGACCACAAACTTTTGAATTGTAGTGTAGGTCTCGTAGAAAGGCAACTAGGTTCACTAGGTTTTGGAACAGAGCCTACAAATTTGTGAATTTTTCCACACGAGCGACAAGAAACGATACAATGGATACAAAATACATGGAGGGAACAAGGTCACAAAATTCAAGCCATCTCTGGTGTGACTTTTTTAATCTTAAGAATGCAAAATGTCCAAACAAGAAAAATAAACCATGTAAAACCCAGTGGGCATGTTTTAACAAAGAAATATAGAGCCATGAAGGGATAAAAATGTAATTAGCTTATATTAGCTTATAACGGGACACCAAGGAGCAAAGAGTTTAACAACAATATATTTGATCGTGTAAAATTTCCCCCCGGGATATAAATGCAGGGTCGTGTGTATGTGTGTGTGGAGTTTCTAAGGATATGCTGAGCAGAGAGAAGTCTGAGTTCAGGATTGGTATGCCGAAAGCTTTGCCGTCACTAATCCTTTGAGCTCTTCTGACAGACTGACTCAACATCAAGCGTGTTAGTCGAGAAAACATTATCTAATTTTGCTGACTAATTCCAGCACAGCAAGTGGAAACTTGGAGCTATGGATTATATTTTTTATTTTATTCCCCTTTTTCTTGTGAAGTCTGACTATGAAGCATCTGAAGATTTGGACTGTATAATAGGAAAAGAAAAGGATAACCACAAATGATCAAACCTGTAAATGATCTAAGTTCATGTGTGCCATTTATATGCAATACATTTTTACTGTTTAAGCTTACTAGAGAAGTGAACAATTACACATTATCACATACAGTTCTTCCTTCCTCAACTACATTTCAAAGACAACAACTTATTACGAGTTTGGAGTTTTCATACATTCACAACCATTAATGTCAGCAGCATACTGCCCAGTCCTTATAAAGTCACTGTCAAAACACTAAAACTGACATAACAGTAGCAACACACACTCAAGAATGAACTTTCAAAACCAAGAAAGCTCAGATAAAACCACAACACAAACGACATGCAGCACGACCACAGAAACCAGAAAAAAAAATGTCCACAATGATGCTAGCAAGCTATAGAAGACAGAGAGGGCTCAGGGATCACCCTCACTCTGACCCTCTCTACCCTGTGACACACACACACACACACACACACAGAGAGAGAGATAGCCAGCGGCGGATTGGTACAGAAACCAAGCAGAAAGGAGCTGGGACAGGCCAGCTGTCAGGGCAAATATGTCATTATGAAAGAAAAGAAAGTGCCCTGGTGATGCTTTCCACAGCTTTGATCAGTTTACACACAGTGTGAGGAACGGACAGACACAACGACAATGATAATCTCACTCTCACATACCACAGAGATAGGAAAACAAAAATAAAATCATAAAAATTAAACTTATTTGAGTACTGTCTCTCCATGTTGAGTTTGACAAACATCAAAATATGTCAACATTTAAAGGAACAGTTCACCTGAAAATGAAAATTATGAAAAACTACTCCTTGTGAGTAGTGATGTCTGATTCGTGATGAACGTTATTTTTGAGTTTTTTAATACAATTATTTAACAACATTTTTAATAAAATCAGCTCACAAAACGTCTCAGGTTACGACTGTAACCGTAGTTCCCTGAGAAAGGGAACGAGACGATGCGTCACTTGACGCTTTGGGAACGCCCCCAGCGTGCATGCGTCTGAGCATCAATGTCAACTAGTCCAATGGAAAGAATGAGCGTCACGGGCGGGTGACGTCATGACCAGGAAGGGATAAAGGCTCACCCGGTGAAACGCGGCATTAGCTTCAAAAAGTCGAAGCAAGCCGATCACAGGGAAGCAGGAAGTATGGCAGGGTGACGCATCGTCTCGTTCCCTTTCTCAGGGAACTACGGTTACAGTCGTAACCTGAGACGTTCCCTTTCGAGGGAACTCTCGATGCGTCACTTGACGCTTTGGGAACGAGAATACCCAAAACGCCAGAATTCCAAGTACCTGAGTGTCAGTCTGTTGAAACTAAGCACTAAGCACCTGAGAACCTGGGGCAGCATCCAGGTCTAAGCTGTAAAACCTAACGAATGTGAGCGGTGAGGACCAGCCTGCCGCATCACAAACGTCTTGAAGAGAAACTCCAAATAGTAAGGCTTTAGAGGCCGCCATACCCCTCGTAGAATGAGCTCTGACCGCCAAAGGACACGGCAGGTCAGAGTACTCGTATGCAAGTGAAATAGCCTCAACTATCCACTTACTAACCGTCTGTTTAGAAGCAGGAAGACCCTTCTTAGGTGATCCAAAGCAAATAAATAACTGGTCGGACTTCCTCATTGACGATGTCCGATGAACATAAGTATCCAGTGCTCGCACTGGACACAAGAGGTTCAGCCTTTCCTGGTCCGCAGATGTAAAAGGAGGAGGACAGAAAGCCTGCAGCACAATAGGCCTCGGAGTCAAGGTCGGCACCTTAGGGACGTATCCCTGTTTTGGATATAAGAATGCCTTGACCATCCCCGGTGCAAACTCAAGGCAAGTGGGGGAAACCGAAAGGGCCTGAAGGTCTCCAACTCTCTTAAGGGACGAAATAGCTAGCAGAAAGATAGTCTTAAAGGTAAGAAACTTCTCTGAAACCGAATCTAAGGGCTCGAATGGAGCCCTAGACAGGCCTTCTAGTACTAAAGCAAGATCCCAAGCTGGCACCCTAGTGCGAGTTGCAGGCCTTAGCCTCAAAGTGCCACGAAGGAAACGTGTAATCAGGGGGTCTCGACCCAACGATGTACCCCCCACCAGGGCGTGGTAAGCCGCAATGGCCGCCACGTAGACCTTGAGCGTGGAAGGACATAGACCTGACGTAAAGCGCTCCTGCAGGAACTCGAGTACTGTGTTCACAGAACAGTTAACTGGATCCCACTGATGTCGGTGACACCATACAGAAAAAACTCTCCATTTAAGCGCATATAGTTTCCTAGTAGCTGGAGCTCTGGAGCTTAGAATGGTCTCAGCAGCCTCAGCTGAGAGACCACTCTCTATGAGTTGGGCCCCCTCAGAGGCCAAACCCACAGGTTCCAAATTTCTGGTCGAGGGTGAAATATTGTGCCCCCGGCCTGAGACAGAAGGTCTCTCCTGATCGGGATCTCCAAGGGAGGACCGTCTAAGAGATGGATCAGGTCCGCAAACCAGATCCGACTCGGCCAGCGTGGTGCTACTAGCAGTAGGCTTATTTCGTACTGGCGGACTCGTTCCAGAACTCCTGGGAGCAGAGCAACAGGGGGAAATGCGTACAGACGTAGCCTCGGCCACGTCTGCACCATATGCTGAGACGCAAACAGATCCACCTCTGCTTGGCCGTAAAACTCCCAAATTTTCTCCACCGCCTCGGGGTGGAGTCTCCAGTCCCCTGGCCTCAGCTCCTGCCTCGACAGGATGTCTGCCCCAATATTCTGGTCCCCAGGAATATACACTGCCCTCAGGGAGAGTACCTTCCCCAGAGACCACAGGAGGATCTGGTGCGCCAGCTTGCAAAGCGGACGCGACCGCAGACCCCCCTGACGGTTCAGATAAGAGACCACCGATGTGTTGTCTGTGCGGACGAGCACATGATGGCCCCTCAGGTCTGGGAGGAATTGCTTCAACGCATTGAAGACGGCCATCATCTCCAGGCAATTTATGTGCCAAGAAAGATGATGACTCCTCCACCGACCCTGAACCGAGCGGCCTTCCATTACCGCTCCCCAGCCGGTGAGGGAAGCATCTGTCGAGATCGTAACTCGATGGCAGAGAGCTCCCAACACCGGACCCTGGGTTAAGAACCAGTGTTTTCTCCATATAACCAAGGCACGAAGGCATCGCCGCGTGATCTTGATCATACGAAGTGGGTTTCCCCTCGGGGAGAACCCTCTGGTCCTGAGCCACCACTGCAAAGGTCTCATGTACAGCAGGCCAAAAGGAATCACGTTGGACGCTGCCGCCAAAAGACCCAACAGTCTCTCGAACTGTTTTACAGTGCGTGACTGGCCTAGCTTTAGCTCTTTGGTGGCTGTCAGGATAGCAGCTACACGAACGGGCGATAGAGTGGCCCGCATCGTCACTGAATCCCATACCACACCAAGGAAAGTGGTTCTCTGTACTGGAGAAAGCACACTTTTCTTGGCATTGAGCCTCAACCCCAACATCTGCATATGAGCGAGAACGACACCTCGGTGCCGAACCGCCAACTGCTCTGATTCCGCTAGAATCAGCCAGTCGTCGATGTAGTTCAGAATACGTATGCCCTGAAGCCTGAGAGGGGCTAGAGCTGCATCCACGCATTTCGTGAACGTGCGGGGTGATAAAGCTAGACCGAAAGGAAGAACCCGATATTGGTATTCTTTGCCCCCGAAAGAAAACCTTAGGAACTTCCTGTGCTGAGGGAGGATGGAGACATGGAAGTAAGCGTCCTTCAGATCTATCGTGACAAACCAGTCCTCGGATCTGATTTGAGTCACGATCTGCTTGAGTGTCAGCATCTTGAACTTGAGTTTCTGTACTGAACGATTTAACAGACGAAGATCTAAAATGGGACGCAACCCTCCATCCTTTTTTGGAACAATGAAATAACGGCTGTAAAAACCCGACTCTCTGTCGGGTGAGTACACCTGTTCTATAGCTTCCTTTGCTAACAGGGCCTTTACCTCTTGCTCCATTACCAGAGCCTGCTCGGGATGCACCACTGTGGGCAGCACCCCGTTGTAACGAGGAGGACGAGAACCAAACTGGATTCTGTATCCTTTCTCTACAATCTGCAGGACCCAACGAGAAATATTCGGCAGAAGCTTCCACGCCACCAGAAAATTTACTAAGGGAACCAGCCTCTCGAGGCTGGTCTCTGGTGTTATCGAGACGGCTAATTCCGGAGCCTGAAACATAATGGCAGGAACTACCTGAACTGGCCGCTCTAAGGCCCCCCTCAGAGGGCGCGAAACCGATGCTGTGCCGCAGCATAGCATCAGCGACTCGCTGGAGACCGCTGCGCCCTGAAGCACCGAGGGTGGCAGGGTTGGCAGAACGGTCTCGTGAGGACCCCGAAATGGAACGGGCACCGTATAATGAGGTGTACACCGCTCCACTTCGGTCGGGGCTGTCCTCACAGGCCTGATGCATGAACATCAGGACCTTTTTTTTTTTTTTTGAACCGAAGTCTTCTTCGCCTGAAGAACGGTCCTCAGATCCGGCTTCGACTTAGAAGACTTCGGTTGAGAGGGTTGCGTCCGTCTCCAGTCTCTACGTGGAGGTGCACGAGACGCAACACTCTCTTTCTGATGCACACGATATGATGAGCTCGACGGCTGGGGCTGCTCACGCCCAGCAGCCCCAGGGGGCTGGACCCGGCGAGGGATAAACTTTTTAAAAACGTCAGCTTGTTTCTTTGACTCCTGAAATCTCTCGACGACCGCGTGGACTGCGTCGCCGAAGAGACCAGAAGGTTCAAGCGGAGCATCTAATAAAAAAGCTCGATCTTTTTCTTTAATTTCAGACAGATTTAACCATAAATGTCTCTCAGTAGCTACCAAGGCTGCCATAGACCGCCCAATTGCTCTGGCGGTCTCCTTAGTAGCCCTGAGAGAAAGATCGGTAGCCCGACGAAGTTCACGAATATCGTCATGACTGACTCCCTCACTACTATCCAGATCCCCCAGCAGGTCAGCTTGATAAGCCTGGAGCACTGCCATAGTATGCAGACATGCTCCAGCTTGACCTGCTGCCGTATAAGCTTTGCCCACTAACACCGAAGTGGCTTTGAGCGGTCTAGTGGGCAAAGCCGAGGCTTTCAGAGACGATGCGGGACCAGGGGAAAGATAACTGGCTAAATTCTCTTCCGCCTGGGGCATCGCCTCATAACCATACTCTTTCAGCCCTCTTATTCTCGAATAAGTGTTAACTTGAGGGCTGAAAAGACGTGATGAGTAAGGTTTATTCCACGATTTAGATATTTCATTGTGCAAATCGGGAAAAAATGGAAGCCCTCGTGGTGGAGATAATGTGGTGGAAGATAAAAAGCGCTCATCTAATTTGCTTTTAGGACGAGCGCCCTTCTTCTCAGATGGCCATTCAATATTTAATTTCTCTACAGCCCGCGACATAACATCCACCAGCTCATCATATGCTGGGGAAATAAATTGTGAATCTCTTTCCCCCATGTGTGTGCTTTCACTCTCCAAACTCATCGCATCGACCTCCTCGGAGGAAGAGCAATGAAGTAAAGGAGGGCTCTCTCCCCGGGCGGAAGAAACCGCAGAGCGTGCTTCCGACACCGGGGGGAGAGCGCTGGATCTCTCGGGTAAGGAAGGAGAAAGAGCCCTCGGACCCGTCTCCAACCCCTCCGAAAGATCCTTTACAGTAAAAATATGGTAAAAACTAATATTGTGAAAAATGATAATTTAAAATAACTTTTTTTCCTTTTTTGGTATATTTTAAAAAGTATTTTGAGCAGCAATAGCTCCAGTCTTCAGATTCACATTATCCTTCAGAAATCACTGTAATATTTGGTACTCAAGAAACATTTCTTATTATTATTATCAATGTTGAAAATAGTTGTGCTGCTTAAAATGTTTGTGGAAACATTTTTGTTATAAAGTTCAAAAGAACAACCTTTATTTAAAATAGAAATCTTTTGTAACATTAAAATGTATTTACTGTCAATTTTCGATTAATTTAATGCATCCTTGCTGAATAAAGTATAAAAAAAAATTAAAAAATTAAAATTAAAATTAAAATTAAAATTAAAATTAAAAAAAATGATTCATTATTCAGACCTTCTCCTTTTGTGTTAATGGAATAAAGAAAGTTATATGAATTTGAAACAACATTAAAATATTCTAACAATTTTCATTTATAGGTGAATTATTCCATTTAGGAATATTTTCGGTTGGTCTTAACACCTGCAAGATCTTCAATAAATTACCTCAGTATTCAAAATAAATCACAAAGACTGATAAATGGTCAAATTACTTCCTCAGTGTGACCATTGTCTGTACACAGCCTTCTCAGAAGTGCCTTCAACCAAACAAAAACCTTACTTTTCCTATTGCGTTCCATTTTTTTCCATGTCTCACCAACGCAAAAAAGTCCTTTAAGAGCAGACCTGAGTGTGGCCAACTTCCAGTATCCCAGGATGCTCTGTTACAGGCCTACCTGATGGCAGCCTGACGGCAGTGTCCGGATGGAGCTCCTGCTCTCCCTTCAGTACCGCTACCGCCTCTGCCGTAACCTCCTGCACGATCCGCGCCGACACTTGCTCTGTTCGACACATACACATACACACATGCATTAACACACGCCCACATGAGCATGTACACGGGCAGATATTTACACATACTTTCTGTATCAATCCAGGCAGGATTTTTTCACTTCTTTTGTCATACTTTTAACTCTTGAGAACCGACCAGAGACTAACCATAACAGGGAGTACAAATACAAGTCGACAGGTTCAGATAATTTGTAACCATAGGAACAAAAGATAACATAATCAGAAACGAAGGAAACCGAAACTAAACTGAGCAGGGATACAGGAACAAAGGGAAATTAAACAGAATTTCAAAATAAGAGTCCATTGGTGCTGAGCCAATGAAAATGAGATTGTATTACATTGTGAGCACACTAAGACAACTGTGACCACATATGGCGGCCCACACACGATCACACACACAATTAAGGTCTTTATTGGTGTTAATTACAAATATTAATATTGTTTTCAATTTCAATTGTTTTCAATGTCTACTGCAATGCAAAAGTTTGGGGTCGGTAAAAGTTCTTAAGTGTCTTATGCATTACTCCATTCTTCAGTGTCACATGATTTCAATTTACAGTGACACTTATCTGTCTACAGCTGAAGCTAAAAATACAGTAATAGAAACCAAGCGGCCGATAAAACGTCCCGTCGCTTATTGTTTCCGGCAATCACAGCCTGTCAAGACTTTTTATCACTTGTCGCTTTGTTTAGAAAACCGTGTTAGAAAATACAAATGAAATATCCAATTAACAGCAGCAAGACAAACTGAAGGCATAACTGCACATTATTAAAGATTGAGTCTACAGAACTATTGTTTTCTATAATTGCTTAAATACAATTTCACACCAAATAAAATGAACTTCCAAATGTGTAATTTAGTCTTATCTCTGTCCTTTCAGACAATATTAATTTAAACCTCTAACTCAGAGGGCCTAAAACAGAGGAAAACGTTTTAAAAAGAAAAGCAAAAAGCTCAAAATGGCAAGAAAAATGGCAGCACTTTGAGAGAGTAAATTGTCATGGTAACAGCAGATTGGGGAGGTATAAGAAGAGACTGTAACCGATTAAGCAGCGGGAGGAATACAGCCCACGGATTGGCTGGCAACACGCGTCCAGGGATAGACTCTGCTTTAAAACAGCGCTATTAAAAGTATCCCTCTGCGCTTTAAGACACTTACACACTTGCTGAATTCTTACAAACACATCAGAGATGAAGAGATACATTTCAGTGGCATCAGTAGTCTGATTTTATCCTCAAGATGGATCTAGTTAATGTTGAAATGGCCACCCACCGCTGATCATTGCAAAAGACAGTGCCTGTTACAAACTGTGTGGGAGTATGGCACTGTGTGGGAGTATGAGTTAAAATGTGTCCCAAAAGCACATCTAGTCCAATGACAAACACAGCATAATTATGTAAACAGCCATTAATCTTTACTGTATTTGCAATATTAATCATTTAACATGCAAGCACGAGGAGATTTAATCGAAGTTGATGCTGCAATGACCAGCTAACATGTGTTCAGACACAAGGCTGACACATTAGCACTGACGCAGAAAAACATTGCAGCAGGGCTTACGTCAAAGCTTTCTGAAGAGATGCAAAGTGATTAAGGACCATTTGCTACTCCTACTCTCTCTCCAGTGCAAACAGACTGCATGATGGGAGTCAGCAATGCATCGCTTTTGTTTCTTGTGCACTTTTCAGGCACAATTTCCGCCCACCTTACAGCCCCAGCTTCCGCCCACCCACTCACAGACACACATACACACACGCACAGAAAGGGAACAGAGTTCTGTTCAGATGCCATTAGAATGATATTCACCCACGCAGGCTCGGGTTCGTGATACGCCATCAACCCGTGGTAGAGACCAGCTTCTCTAGAGGAAAGTCGCATTAAATAATCCGTTCAAAAATGTAAATTCTGTCGTTCAGTCACACTCATGTTGTTCCAAACACAAGTTGTAAGTTGTTGTTTTTTTCCCACAAAAAAGGAATTTCTGAATAATGTCCTTGGTTTGAGGCTTAAAAGGATGAAAACTAGAAGACAAGTAATTTGGACATTATACAACAGCTTTATGAAAACATTAATACGAACATTATGCAAACATTAAAATCATGATTTGAAACTATTTGTATTGTGAAAAGTGCTTTATAATAAATTTGAGTTGACTTTATGTGATGAACTGATCAAAATATAACTCATTATTCACTAAATATCTTCACCTTCATTGAGCAGTGGAATTCATAAATGAATCATTCAGGTTTTGTGCACTGCATGGATCAACCCGATTCATTAAAAAGATCCGACTCAGAATCTTTAATGCACAACAGAATGAGAACTGAATGTTGCAATAATAGCAGATTTGACTACTTTCTTAAATTTCATTTGTTTAAATAGCACAAAACCATCATATGATTACAGAAGACATTGACTATCATGTCATTTGGACTACTTTATTGTGGCCATTAAATGGTCATTTTTGGAGCATGGTATTCATGGTCACATTGAATTTCCATTGTATGGAAAGGAGTTGAATTCATAATTCAAATTCATAAAAATTTCAGGAAACACTTTAATTTAGGGTCCAATTCTCATTATTAACATAAGTTTCTTATTAGCATGCATATTATTTGGAAATTGGCTGTTTATTAGTACTTATAAACCACATATTAATGCCTTATTCATATTATGCCACATTCTGCATGACCATATTCTACATCCCTCAATCCCACTCAGTACCTACATTTAACAACTACCTTACTAAATTAATAAGCAGTAATTAAGAGTTTATTGAGGCAAAAGTCGTAGTTAATAGTAAGTTAATAGTGAGAATTGAACCCTAATCTAAAGTGTGACCAAATTTGAACTTTTATGCTTTGTAGAAAAGGTTTGGAACATCATCAGGGTAAGTGCATGATGACAGAAGGAACGTCACTCAAGTGTTTTCATCTATAAATACAGCTGCTGAAAATGTAATAAACTGCATAATTTCTTGGAAAAAAATATGTTTACTATGTAATAATGAATATGAAATAAATTACATAAGCTGATTTTCACAGCCAATTACTGCATGACTCAGCAGGAGGGCAGAGAATATGAACATGACCAGAGACCGAGCAAACTGATTCATTAATATAGATTTAGCTCTCTCTGTTCTCATCCTCATACCCTGACAAAACAGATGTAGCTGTATTGTTTGGCATCTTCCTACTCTTTATTTTTCAGCATATAGCTCTCTCTCCTTGGCCGCCTGCATCATTGTTAGACCGTGTCTGTAAAGCAGTGCCACTATAGATTCACTTCAGGGCAAACCTGGCCAGTCTATCTCAGTCTTTGTGTCTGACAGATGTGCTGGTGTGTCTACCCAGCATCCCCCTCTCCCCCCCCCTTGCGCCTGTCCACACCCGTCTGCGAGAGATGTGCTCGGATTGCTGATCAGATGGGTTTGCCACCAGCAAACAATAGCTCACATCCCTGAGACATCAGCAACCACAATAAGCAAATACCCCAAAAAGTACACACCAACCTACAAGCACAAACACAGCTGCACACCTAAGAAGAAGAATATTGCGTTGTACATATCTGTTATTCACAAGGACAGTCGTATTTACCCCTTAGACAGGTGGTAAGATTCAAATTCAAATATATTTGCAGTCACTTTCCGCAAACATGCGATATATACACACAATCTGCACTACTCCACAAGTGCAAAAATTCTAACAACCTGTTATTCTAGTGCAGGGAAGCCACTTAAACCTAGAAAGAACCTCTAACCAACCCATTAGAAAAATCAAAGCTCTCTTACCAAAAAGTGCAGTGGTGGTTATCTGGCTGTCTGGAGGCAAATGCTTCCCTGTGCACTCTTAGTCGTGCCTGCTGCCAAAAGCAAGCCGGGAGAAGGAGGGGGATGGCTGGTACTCCATGCCAGGACTCCCCCGCCAAAGAGCAGAGCCGTTGCCACAGCAACACACAGCCTGGGCCCAATCTGAACGTCTCCCAGCATGCCTCGGCTGTGGGTTTTGCCACCCTCGGTGTGTGAGTGACACAGACATATTACTGACTCTCTGCATCTGTGCGATATTACTGACTCACGACATCAGTGGATCTCAAACTGGTGGATTGTAAAATATCCCAACATGACACTTTACAATAAGGTTTAATTAGTTAATCCATCAGGTATTATGAACTAACAATGAACAAAAAAATGTTTAGCATTTATTAATATAAGTTAATATTCATTTGCATGAATATACTACTGTTTATTGTTGAATCATGTTTGTTCAACTTGAAATTATAAATATGTTTTAGCATATGTAGAGATTAACTTGAATTCATATTAATTAATTGCTTAATGCAGTAAAAGTATTGTTTGTTAATGGTTAACAAATTAAATCTTAATGTTATCGATTCAGGTGAGTTAATAGAATAGAATAGAATAGAATAGAATAGAATAGAATAGAATAGAATAGAATAGAATAGAAATTAGCTGAATTGAATTGAAATTAAATTAAATTTATCCACCTTATTCCTACGCCCCATGACGCTTTGCGCGAATTATGGGTGTAACTTCCGTTAAGCTGTACAATCAGTGAAAGGCTCGCTCTATGAACGCAATACGTTAAAAAAGTGTCACAATGAGATGACATTAATCGACTCACCCTTTAACCATCAAACATTAAAATAAAAATGTAAAAGTTTAAAAGAATCAGCAAGGTACTTTCAACAGACCAAAAATAGCCCCAAAAGCGCGAGTCTTTGGTTAAATATCACTGTAGTAGGCAAATATCTGTATTGTATAACAAGCCTTAATCAAAAATGTTCATTAACTTCAGCATTACGGGACACTATATCAAAGTGATTTCCGTCATTTTGACTGATTGTAAATTGCATTTACCTGTGAAAACAAACCTGGAAAGAGACGTGAGGATTTGAGGAGAATAACGAGAGATTCTTCGCGCATTCCAGTGAATTATTAATGGAATATCGTAAATTAAATTCGGGAG